TCACAAATTGAAATTAACATGCTATATTAATTTCTTTGTTTCAGTTTAATTCCTTGGCTGAAACCCTACTAAGTGAATAAGAGCTAAAGAAGCAGCTGTGGGAGCTTCTGAGTGATTTTTGGATTCATATTTGCAAAAATATTTGAAACATTCCATAGTCACCTCTAACATATCAGCAGCGTTTTCTTTTTTATCTTTCATCTGTATTGCTATATTTTATATCCTGACCTTTTGGTCTTCCTTTGCCTTTCTGAACCTACATAAAATATTCTAAGCAGGCTACAAAGTATTTAACACCCTTCAGTATTGTCTTTCACAATAGCACTGGCATACTAACCTTTAGTCTAGAAGTTTATTGAAGCAGATGAGCATTTCTGTTCACTGCTTAACCAGATGCTTTCTATCCTAGCTCTTTGTGTAGCTCTTCTTCATATTTCTATTTTTTTTTTCCTTTTGAAAAACACAGAAAAATAACATATTCAGGTTCTATCCAAAAATAGTAATGGATCAGACACCTGTTTCTGAAAATAATCCCACTATATCCAAATTCATAGATGCCTCATCAGGGACAATTTATTAAATGTACAAAGTCTTCATCTCCTCGGGACACTTTTTATATTACATTTCTACTTATTTTCCGTTTTGTTACATATTGGTCAGTATTCTCCCTGCTCTCTGAGGATCTCACGTACAACCTAGTGATTACAATACTTCCATCTTTTTTTTGAATGATGGTATTTGTTTGCAGATTTCTTAAATTGATAGTCCCAGTTCTTCCATTACGCAGTTTATATTATCATTTGTTTCATTTGTGCAGCCTATGTTAAAATCACCTAATATAATTATTTCTGACTATGCCCTAAAAGCCTGCAGATGTTTTCCCAATCTGCCTGTAATATTTATAGCTGATCCCTTTACTCTGTAAACAGTGAGCAATGTGGGGTAAATTAACCCTAACAAACTTCTTAATTGTGAACACCATCAGACCTCTTTGGCTTGCTGAGGTGATGTGGGAGCTGAGGAAGACTGCTGTTATATATCATTTTCTTTTCCTTGTTGCAGCTTTTCTTGCAAATACCAACGCTTGCCTGCTAAAAAGGCTAACTCTAGACACGTAGGTTCAAAATACACCCCACCCTGTTGTTGATCACTCCATTCTAGTGTTGGCTCATTAAGAATCCATGACAGCAACACTTGCTGAATTAGCCCTGTATTGGAGGCTTGTCACATTAAAATGTGCTGGGTTTTTTTGATGTTTCATGTTAAACAAAATCTGAAATTCTGTGCTTGTTTCAGGCCTAAATTGTGATATTGAGTTATTTTCTAACCTGTGTTCCAGGATACCATTGCTTGATCATAGAATCATAGAATTATAGAATCCTTTAGGTTGGAAGAGACCTTTAATATCAAGTCCAACCATTAAGCCAACACTACTAAGGCCTCTGCTAAAACAGAATCAGAATCAGAATCTGTCAGGGCTGGAAGGGACCACAAGGATCCCCCTGTTCCAACCCCTCTGCCATGAGCAGGGACACCTCCCACTAGATCAGGCTGCCCAGAGCCTCATCCAGCCTGGCCTTAAAGACCCCCAGGGATGGGGCCTCAACCCCCTCCCTGGGCAACCCATTCCAGGGTCTCACCACTCTCATGGTGAAGAACTTCTTCCTCACATCCAGCCTGAATCTGCCCACTTCCAGCTTTGCCACATTCCCCCTAGTCCTGTCGTTACTCGATAGCCTAAAAAGTCCCTCCCCAGCTTTCTTGTAGCCCCCCTAAGATACTGGAAGGCCACAATAAGGTCACCTCGGAGCCTTCTCCTCTCCAGACTGAACAGCCCCAACTCTCTCAGTCTGTCCTCACAGCAGAGCTGCTCCAGCCCTCGGATCATTCTCGTGGCCCTTCTCTGGACACGCTCCAGCAGCTCCACGTCCCTCTTGTAATGGGGGCTCCAGAACTGGATGCAATTGTGCTCCTATTCATATCAGTTGATATAAATGTAATCTCAGAAGGAAGTCCACAGAGGGTGAATGCATCTAGCTGAACATACCATATTTGCTGACAGGGGAACTGTAAAGCTTTTCCCATATCCCTTGCAAGTAGTGGTCCTGTTTTCCTTCTGTGGCATTTGTGGATTATGAAAAAATAAGCAATAATACTATATGAAACAGTCCTCTAAAGTATGCTGCTGTGCAGATTATCTTTTTTCTTACATTCCATGTTGGACACAATAGTGCTTTGTGTTTGCACAGTTGTATAATTTTTGTTGTATGCAATGAGAGTTTGTTTTCATAGTGACTGTGTGTAATAGCTCAGTATGTATGTTTATTATTATCATGTTGGGCTTTAATGGGCTGGTCTTGCAAGTACTTTGCTTGCTCAGTACCCTGCTCCCACCAAAGGCTTGCAGGATCTGCAGTCAACAAATATAAAACAGCTTAAATTAATAAAAATAGCAATTTTTCATGTAGTATCACAATATGCAGCTTAATTTTTCCTTTGAGAATTAATCGATGAGTGAATAAAGAGATTATTATTATTTAGAAAATGAGATTACACAAAGAAATGTGCATGTGTTTGTGAGATCTGGGGAGAGGTTACATTTGTGGTAGTTCTAACAATTCACTTCCATGTGCTAGTAGCATCTTTATGTGTATAAGAGCAGGAGAAGCAGCGGAGAGCAGTAAATACTTTAAAAGTCTACCTGAGAGGAGCACAGCACTCTCAACTACTGGTAAGGTCCTCATCATTGCACCATCTGAATGTTTCAGAATCTTCACAAGATTTATTCTTGCAACATCCCTGTAAGGTGGAAAATTGCAGTTGTAGCCCTTTCACAGATTGGAATTATAAAGCAATTAAAAAAAAAAAAAGGAAGTTTTCAAAGGTCAAAAAGAAAGTCTGTTGTGAAGCTGGGAATTGAAAGTTGTTGAGTCTAAGGCCAATGTGTCAAGCAGTATTATTACATCTCTTGAAATTTTATCTGTTTTCTGATTCACACAGTGGCCCAGTCAGTTTCTGTTTCTGAAATGATGTTTTCATTCATTTCTCAGTACTAATTGGTGATAAAATGGGTAGATGAGCTTGTTTAGAGTAATTTATTGACAGTCTTTTTCTTTTAGTTATTTTCTGAATGTTGGTGTTGAACCCAGACATAATGTTAAAAAAAAATCTTCAAGTGAACATATTTTAATCTTTAATTCAATCCTAAATTATAGTATATAGTATATAGTGCTTCTATGTAGCAAATAAGCAGCTGGTCTGAGATGGACTGATTTCACATGCATCTGTTAATTTCTTTCATTTTTATAACTAAGTTTTGGCTAACACATACCAGTAACTCTAAATCATTTCATTTAACCTGCTTATTTCCTTTTTAAATTAATTATTTGCTGGGCTACACAGGATGAAGATGTTCTTTAGTTGCAGGATTAAAATAATTTCCTGCTTCTAGTGTAGAATTCTGTGGTAAATCTGAACTCTTTAGTAAGGAGACGCTGTTCAGTGCAGCATGTCTCTCAGCTGAAGTGTCAGAAACTGCCCTCCATAATACCCTCCTCTTAAGAGAAAGCAGGATGTGGGGCACTGGGAAAATGAGGGAGAGGAGGTGCTTTGCTGGCTCTGCTTTAGAGCCATGAAAGCCCGAGATGACATTTTTCCATGCTTGGCAGCAGGCGCACATGATTTGTGCGGGGGGGCTGTGTGTCTGTGTGTTGACTGGGACTGGAAGACCCAGCCCTCCCTCTTACGTGTGGACTCGATCCTCACCTCTCCAAGGGGATCGTGTGTCTCTTTTGGCATAGCACAGATGCAGTGGATCTTGGCAGCTAGGACTTCTCCTTCCAAGTGTTTTTATATAGGAAGAGGAGAGTGCTGGCCAATTTCAGGATTCTAGCACTGCTTTTAACTGTGAATTTCCAGAGTGTTTTCTATCCGTTTGTCACTTTGGAGTTTGGTTAAATATATATGTCTATGACAAATTAGCTGCACTTCTCAGGGATGTGTGGGTATGAGAGGTGTATCGGTTAACTTGAGAAAACCTGAAGCTGTAGATTAGCTTCTTACCACATTGCTCAGCATTTGGGTATTCCCTGCAAGTTTCTTCTGTGAAATGGTGAAGGGTCAGATAGGTGAGACCAAAT